CGTGCAAATGCCCCCACCAAGCCGATCTGTGCCTTATTTTGTTTAGACATTTGGTAAAACTCATATTCACCTAGGTACGGATTGTATTATTTCGCACAAAAGACTTGCTTCACCAACCCCGAGCTCTTACCAGCTCCTCAGGCTTGGGCGAAAATTCTCACCTCCTTGAATCAATACTGTTTCTTCACACCTTCCAGCACTGAATGTCAGCGCTATTTGCTTCGGGAGAGCCACTATGCAATTTTGTGCCCAACACCTAGTAATCACCGTTTTCAACCTGCGAATTGGAGCTGGGGAGCAGCTGGTGGGTGAGCTATTTTGCACATTCGAATATTTCTTAGGTAATCAGCAGTCTAGGCACCCTAAAGCTCCCTCCCCTTGGAAATTACAGGTACTATAGCTCTAACGCTAAATTGCGGACTGGCCTATCCCGCGACACATAGCGCGTAAGTGAAGATGTCACCCAAGGTAACCCGGAACATTGCGCAATATCAAAAGGCTTCTCGTGCGAAATTGCGGTTACCGTAATTCGCACGAACTATAGCAACGCTCCATTCCGCTGAAATAGCCCCATAACACTCAGAGCCGAATACCCCTTGCACTGAATATCTGGCTTGTAATCATGCCTGCATCAAGTTGAGCAGGTAATTTACCCTGAAGTAGCCCTCTGAGACCGCCTTCGTATCTATGCCCTTTTTATAAAGAACTTTGCTATAATGTCAAGTTCATGGCGCATTCATTAAGGATTCTTCACTCTACTTAGCTTCTATATTTATTGCTGTTTATTATGGAGCCCTTCTCGACGTTTCTTAGATTCTTCTTCTACTTCTCGCTTCAGGGAACCTTTAACACTCGGTAGTCAGCCAAAGTGCATTGCGCGTTCGTTTATGGATGAAAATACGATAAGTGCTGCGCAAACTGATACTCGAATGCACTTTCTTGGCCGCGCAGTTTAGGCGACGAAGAATGGGGGGGGAGAGGCACCTTGCACTGTCGTTGCTCCAGTTAGTATCCGGTTTCCTTATTCGCACCGTGTTGAAACCCGTGAGGACTCCTTTGCAAGCTGGAGCAGGCCTCATGGAGCGACAATGGTGAAACCTGTCAACTCACGAAAAGGCTCTCTAGATGGAACGACACGGCGATGGGAAGCATCAAAATGCCCCCCCCCTCCGTAGCTGAACTGCGCCTACTTTCTCTGTAGTCACGTGGATGAAAAATCACCTCTACTCCAGCCCACCCCAAGGGATGATTGAAGTAAATCACCACTATGAGCGAACCTCTAGGCGCCGAGAAGCGTAAGCAGGCCTAGGACCCGCCGCCACGTCATGTCTGATCGTCCGCGCGCCTCCTACCGATATAGCATCCGAAAACGTCCTCAAGCACTTATCAACATTTTCGTGCAGAAAGTCGATTCTATGTAGGGTAGTGGGAAGCACGAAAATGAAAATGTATACATAGGTTGAACGTAATAAACAGTGAATCTCGACCACATGAATCACGCCAAAATTTTTCATTCATATCTCACGAACTCTTTATCGATTTCTACTTTACAAAAAATTCGAATCTGCTATTTGCAGTTTCGGATTTTGTTCATTTTTTTCCTTTTGGACTTTGCAATAGTTCGTGCAACTCGAAATCAGGCATTCATGAGTACCGCTCCTCCAACGAAATCCAACTCTCTTTCAGGCAAACGTTTGGGCTGAAAACGATCGGACAAGTAGCCCTAGCGGAATCATGACCCACGAGAACGGTCGGCGATTAGAGGTTCGTTGTTTTTGATAATGCCTAAGAGCAAAAATGTCGGAAAAAGGACACAGTAGTAAGGTGAAAAATGTTCGCTATACGACCCCCCCCCCACCCCAGAGTTCTATCTCGATGCCAGTGCTTTTGAAAGCCTAC